TTTGCACCGTCCCGGAAAGAGGCAAAAGTTCCAAGTACCTTAGAGCTGTGTTGTCATGGATGTGTTTTGTAATCTCTACCACTACAAAAATTATAAAACAATATTTAATTACTTACCAAATAAGAGGAGAAATAGAGTTTTTAAAAATCAATCCAGAAAAAGGCAATAAAGGAAATAAAGCATAGAACAGGCAGCACAAATAAGAAGCAAATGGTAGGAAGATACAGCTAAATCCCAAACTATTACCCGTACAGTCCAAACCCTCCACCTACAGGACTGGTTATCAGGCTGGATTAAACCCAAACTACTTAAAACATGATGCAGAAAGAAAGTACAAAGATGGGAAAGGATGCCCCGTGCAAACGCTAACTAAAGGTGGGAGAGGGGGAATGGTGACCTGGTCACCAGAAAGGTGGACTCAAAGGTAAGAGCATTCTTGAGGAGAAATGCACTACTTCATCTTGACAAAAGGTTCAACCAGGATAAGACGACCCCAAATGCTAGACACATGGTAACAAGCAAAACCCAGACTCTGAGGAGAAGCAGACAACTCCGCGAGCCGTGGGATAAATTTCTCCACATCTGATATCACTTTCCTGCCTCCTCACTGGCCCGCGGACAACTGCCACCAAGCCACAGCCCACACTCCGGTCGGCGTCCCGCCCAGCCTGCCCCCCCGCCTCAGCCCCGGCGTGCTCAGGTGGCACAGGTGCCCTCTCCCGCCTCTTCAGTGCGCTCAGGCAGCGCCGGGGAGCAGCAGAGGCCCTGCCAAGTGCTGCATCCGCCTCCAGGCAGCTCCCCTCCGGCAACACAGCGGGGTGGGGGTGGGGGGCCTGACCTGCACCGTCTGGTGGAGGTGGACGGCCACCACCTTCTTCATACAGTCCTTGATCATCTGGGACGTGAAGAAGTTGGCCTCACCCTTCTTGTCCACGGCAATCTTGCGGTAGTCCTCCAGCAGGATGGGGCAGATCGCCTGGGTGGGCTGGGTCATGTAGATGGGCCCGTCGTAGCCCACCATCTCGCTGAAGTAGGGGAGCGCCCCGCAGTGGTCCAGGTGGAAGTGGCTGGGGAAGCAACATGGGTCAGCCTGGAGGGCCCTCCGCACCTCCCCACGGGGGCTACCGTCCCCCCTCCCTCGCTCGCTGAGGGCCTGCCGTGCATGCCTCAGACACCCCGCCCTGAGAGCCGCAAAGCAAGAGGGAGCGAAGGGGCCGGAGCGCAGTCGCCCTGGGGCTCAGCGCCTGAGCGTCTAGCGGTACCACCAACAAGCAGTCACTCTGGGGTCAGCCTAATGCTCCAGGAAGGAACAAGGAGGGGCTCAGGGGGATGTGTATCAAGAGTCGCCACTTGGGTGGGTGGGCAGGTCCTGGGGAAGGCGCCCACCTGATGATCACGCAGTCCAGAAAGTCAGTCAGCCGGCCGCTGCGGGTGATGTAAGAAAAGTCGGGGAAGCGCCTCTGTGGGGTAGGGGAAGGGTCAGGATGCCACCGGGGCTCAGGAGCCAGTGGGGCAGCTGGGGCTGCAGGCACGGCCCCCGGCGCTTAGGGTGCAGCTGAGCCTGACCCCCACATCCCCACCCCGCAGGCCCACCGAGACCGCCAACTGCTCAGAGCCTCGGAGCGTCCAGGAAGCAGGTCAGCTGCCCAGCTGGTACCTGAGCCAGGAGCCCCGATCTGGTACAGACCGGCCCCGCGCAAGTGCCCCACCTTGCCCCCTCTGTGGGTCAGAGCCTGAGACGCCGAGGCCCGGGCCCACAGTTGGTGATGCCAAAGAGCAGGCTGGGTGGCGGCCGCCCACCCAAGGGACTCACATCGTCGCTGAAGCCCATGTGCATCCCGCAGTCCAGCATGACGTTCTTGCCCGCAATGGAGACCAGGATGCAGCTTCGGCCCACGTCCTGGCCAGCCCCTGAACGGGAGGACGGGTGAGAGGTGCTACCACGCTCCTCTCCCCGCAACTGCCCCTGCGAGGATGGCCCCAGCCCCAAGGCCAAGGCCCAGCCGCCTGCTCCAGACCCCTAAAGGACCCTCTGGGCCCCTGGCCCTGCAGAACCCTCTGTGGCTGCTGTGTGGACAAGGTGTGAGGTGAGAAGCATTGCCACCTCTGCACATGGGCAAGGGAAACGCACAGGGAGGGGACAAAGCACCAAGGCCACCTTGGACCCTTCCCCATGATGCCTCCAGCCTCGGGCCCTGCCACTCACCTCTCAAAGCAGTGGCCCACAGGCTTGAGGCCAGGAGCTGAGTAAGGGGTGCTGGACTGTGGTCCCAGCACTCAAGAGAGGCAAGCCAGGGCTCCTTGGGGCCTCACCACCCCTCCCAAAACCTTAGCTGGGGCCACATCTGAGCTGTGACCACCAGGCACCTCCTGGTGGTGCCACTGCAGAGGGACACTGCGTGGCTTTAGCCCAGCCACGGGGAAACATGGCCCTAGCTGTCCGGCAATGACCAAATAGAGTGGCCACAGTACAGACGCCCCACCGCTGGGCCCCCTCAGGTACCCCCAGCCCAGACCATAACCCGAATCTCATCCACAGTCCTGCCCTCCAAGCCCTGCCCAGATGCTCCAGGCCCAATGGGGCATATCCCGGCCACCTCATATGGCCATCTGTCACCTCCTCTAGGGTCTGGGCACCCAGAAGGAAAGTGACACAGCCTCACAAGGCCCGATGACAGCAAATGACCTATTTTTCATCTTGGATCCTACAAGCCTCCCTCTGCAAGGAAACTTCTGAACCTTCTGTTAGCACCATACACACCAGGGTGACCAGGCCACCGCCCAAAGTGGGCCGTGGCTGGTCCTCAAGAAGCTTCAGTCACCTGTGACAACGGCAGGTGAGAGCAGCCACAAGCTTCACCTGTGAGCCTCAGGCAGCCCAGCCACAGACAGTGGCCTCGAAGTCTCTCACAGGCCTTCTCCCCCCACCAGGATGTGAGCTCCCTGAGGGCAGGGTCTCAGCCTGCTTCCTACTGCACCTCCAGCCCCAAGCCATGCCCCGCTCAGAGGCACTGCAGACATGTGTGGGAGGGAGAAGGGCCGCCCCTCTTCACAGACGAGGATGTGAAGTCCCAGAAGTCACGGGATCCGCCCACGGCACATGGCTCCTGAGCATGGGACCAGGGACAGTTTTCCAGACTCCGGAGCTCAGCTCTGAGGCACTGGCCGCCTGCTCCCAACAGGAACACCCACAACAATCCCAGGGAGCAAAGACAGTGGCCCGAAGTGGGCAGGCAAAGTGGGGACAGAGCCTGGGACACACAGGAGGGTGGGAAGAAAACAAGGAGACACGTGGCCGCAGGGAGTTTAGGTTCCAGGTGTGTGTGTGTGTGTGTGTGTGTGTGTGTCCGAGAACACGGACAATAATCACCTAGACAAACTTGCATTCGGGGAGATCAGCGCCTCAGGAAAAAGTAAAGCAGGGAAGGGCACACAAACTTCCAGCCCTGCCTGAGAAGACGAATTCCGAGCAGGGTGGAGAGGGACAGCTGGGATGAGAGGGGCAGCTGTGCAAAGGCCCTGTGGTGGGAGAGACCAAGGGGGTCATGAGGCAGAAACTGGCAAAGGCAGATGGTGATGCATAAGTAGTTCTGCTCTGATGGTGCTGTGGCTGAGTGACCTTGGGGGCACACCCAGGTGCAGATTTGGGGTAAAAGAAGCAGTAAGAAGATAGGATCATTCAAGAATGAGCAGTGATAGAGCAACTAAGCCCGTGAGCCACAACTACTGAGCCCGTGTGCCACAACTACTGAAGCCCGCATGCCTAGAGCCCATGCTCCGCAACAAGAGAAGCCACCACATTGAAAAGCCCGCGCACTGCAACCAAGAGTAGACACCGCTCGCCACAACTAGAGAAAACCCGTGCCCATCAATGAAGACCCAACGCAGCCAAATAAATAATAAATAAATCTTAAAAAAAAAAAAATGAGTGGTGAGAAAGGGGTCACCTGGGAAAGGGTCAGGCTGGAAGGAGGATCCTGCAAAGGCCCCTGGAGAAGAACCAGGCGCGGGGAGAGCGTGGGGCTGAAGCAGCCAGAGGGGACCCGGAGCCAACAACTAGGAGAGGCCGTTGGGGTGACGACACCTTTGGTGGGGTAGGATGTGCGCTGTGACCCAGCAGGCCAGGGTCCGGAGTGTTCACTGCAGCTGTCAACAGCTCAGTGTCCACGCTGGGGGCTGGGTGGGCTATTTTGAGGAGAGCTCACCACAAAAGAAAGGATGTGGAGCTGCGGGGGACATCCCTAGGAGAAGATGCTTCCAACACACGGCCAGGGCAGGGGGCAGGTTCCCGAAAAGCCCCTGGCACGTGTGCACGGAGACCCCAGCTGTTTCTGATTCCGAGTGATCTTTCCTCCTTCACACTGTTCTGTACTGCTTGAGCCTTTAAACTGTGCACTTACATCTTTTGCAAAAAGCAAAGTTTTGAGGATTTTTTTGTTTTGTTTTGTTTTTTAACGCTGCGGCGGTCAAGTAAAACAAGGGCTGACTTGGGGTGGACCGCAGACGGGTAAAAGGGTAAACGGAGGCTGCAGGGAAGCGGGACGCGAGACAGATGGAGGAGGTGGAAGGGCAGGAAGTGGCGAGGATGCAGAAGCAGAAGAAAGGCGCCCTAAGCACCGGTGCCGGGCAGGGGGCCGCGCGGCAAGGACGACACGTCCCGGCGTCCCCGGCCCTCCGAGCCTCCCACCGGCCTTTTCGGGCGCTCCTCCCGCGCCGCGCCGCACCGCGCCGCACTCACCCAGGGGCGTGACCCTGATCTCGGGCATCCTGTCGGGCGCGCTCAGCGAGCCGGCGGGACCACTACTGCCTCACGAAACCCGGGCGCCTGCGTCCCGGAATCCGCCATGCGCGTCCGACTCGCGGCGACGCACTGCGCAAGCGCAACCCCAAAGGCGCCAGCTTCCGGCGCGCCCGACGGAAACTCGGGCCCGCGCATCGGACCTTCTGATTGGGCGGCCGGCAGCCAATCCCGGGCGGTGGGTCAGTGGCCGGGGGCGGGGCCGCGGCCTCCACTGCGGCTGCGCGGGGCAGGTGAGGGTCGGCGTTGCAGGTGAGCCGGACGCGGTGGGATCGAGCTGGCGCTGAGGAAACCCACCCCAACCGAACCGGGCGTGGGAGGGGGCGGCCGAGGACCCGACTCCCGCGCTGGCCCGGACCCCGGGCCCCTGAGCCATCCCTGGGCCTCAGCTGGAGCAGGACCCACCCAAGCCCCGGATCCCACCTCGGCGCCACCCGGAGCCCCCTTAGCAGGCGAGACTGGGGCTGTGGTGCCGGAGGGTTGCCCCGTTTTTCCTGGGGTCCTTCAGCTTGCTGTCAGCCACAGGGCTGCGGTGCTCAGGCCGGCCTCAGGACGAGCCCTGACCTTGGGACCGTGGACTGCCCCTGGGGGAGCCTTGGCGGTGCCCTGCATCACCTTCCCAGAGCTGGCAGGCTGCCCGCCCCCGGCCGCGCCGCCCCTGCCCTTCCTGTTTTTTCCAAGCTCTGAAAGGCTGCTGGCACCTTCTGTTGGCTGCTGGCTCAGGTTCTGGGCAGGAAGGCCAGGCCCACAGGATGTCTGGTGACCAGGAAGGTGGCCCTGAGGGCCTCAGAGGCCATCTGCTCGGTGGACAGAAGACTGAGGGCCTGAGAGAGGGGAGGGGTGTTCTAGAAACCTCCGGAGTGTTATCTTCCTGAGTCCAGGCCCGGCTGTCCCCCACACCTGAAGACAGGGTGAGCTCACCTCTGGGCACTCCACCCAGTGCCAGGCATGCGGCCAAGCCGTGGGGCCTGCAGGGCCTCAGCAGCACCTACTGGGCCCCATCAGATGCTCCCAGCAGCCTGGGTGGTGGGCAGGGGAGGGTGTGCGGGCCCATTTTCCCCAAAGATGTGGGACAGGATCTTAGAACAGTGCACGATTTGCCCGCAGAGTGGAAGGCAGACCCCGCCCAGGCACACCAGTGTGCTCTCCTGGCTGAGCTCTCACCACACCTCGGGCGACCGGGCTCCCACAGTGCTCCCAGCACCAAGAGCCAGGAACCCCCATGCCCAAAGGGGTGAGAGCTTGTCCTGGACATGAGGTGAGACACAGCTCAGTCCCCAGGGCCTGTCAGAGCCACACCGCAGTGCAGGCCCCAGGCACCCAGGGAGGCAGGGGCTGAGGTGCCCAGCGACACCCACTAACGCTTGGGCACTTGGGTGTTTGTGGAGTGACTATATGAATGCCAGAATTCAGAGCAGGCCTCTGGCCTGGGGCACTTCTGGACTCCCTGGGGCTGGGGGAGGGCCTGTGGCTGTCTTCAGAGCGTGAGAAAACCTGTGTGTGCTCCAGCTGCCCTTCTGTGTGCGACGGGTACAGTTACAGTAGGAGTGAGAAGACTGGTGTCTGTCCATCTGTCGGCAAATGCTGACCCCGCAGCCTCTGCTCTGTGTGTTGCGATGCAGCTTCAAGCAAGGAAGGGCGTGGCCCTCCAGCCTCAGCCCACAGTCTGTCTCTCCACGGTGCTTATCCTTTTACCTACTGTGTTGAACTTCCTGTCTTTGCTATTATCACACACACACACACACACACCTGCCACTAGGATGTTGCCTCAGCGGGGCCAGGCTGTCGGTCTCATTCACAGTGCACTGGAATGGGTGCCTGGCTCTGGGTGGGGACTCAGCAAATATTTCTCCAGTTAGTAGGAACAGACATACACTCAAGAGAGACAGACTATAAACCAGCGAGGAAATCTGAGCAGAGACGCCTCCTGCGAGTGAGACGTGGCAGTGGTTTGACAAGCCTGAGCGTCGGGGGGCCGTGCTAAGAGCCGGGCCAGGCCTGTGTGTCTGCGAGTGTGTGACCTGAGCAGAGCGAGGTGGGCTCCTGGGGAGGAGGGGCTGGCCTGGGGATGGGGGTTATTGTGGGCTTTCACTGGGGAGCAGCAGTAGCCCAGCTGTTTCTTTTCAGCTGCCCCTGCCCTCCCTCCCCGAAATAATGACCCAAGGAGGGAGCCTCCTCACCAGGAGACAACCCACAGCCTGACTCCCGGTGTGTTTCAGTTCCTGTTGAAATGGATGACTTGGAGTCAGAGTTTAATCTGAAAGTTGTCCTGCTCAGTTTCAAGCAGTGTCTCAACGAGAAGGAAGAGGTGCTGCTGGACCACTACCTCGCCAGCTGGAGGGGGCTGGTCAGGTGCGTGCGAGGGCCTTTCCTGGCCACGCATCCCACTTGCGCCACCTGCGTCCCGCCGGCACTTGTAGGCACCTGCCGGCCCGGTGCGGGTCGGCTGCCCTCACTCGCGGCCCAGAAGGTGGGGGTGCTCTCCCCCGCACCCCCAGCTGAGCGCCCGCCTCCCTTGCGCAGGTTCCTGAACAGCCTGGGCACCATCTTCTCGTTCATCTCCAAGGATGTGGTGGCGAAGCTGCAGATCATGGAGCAGCTGTGCGGTGGCCCCCAGCAGGAGCACTATAGCACCCTGCAGGCCATGGTGGCCTACGAGGTGGGCAGCCAGCTGGTGGACCTGGAGAGGCGCTCCCGCCACCCCGACTCGGGCTGCCGGACGGTGCTGCGGCTGCACCGCGCCCTGCACTGGCTGCAGCTCTTCCTGGAGGGCGTCCGCACCAGCCCTGAGGACGCGCGCACTGCCGCGCTCTGCACTGACTCTTACAATGCCTCGCTGGCCGCCTACCACCCTTGGATCATCCGCCGCGCCGTTACCGTGGCCTTCTGTGCACTGCCCACACGCAAGGTCTTCCTGGAGACCATGAACGTGGGGTCCCCCGAGCAGGCCGTGGAGATGCTGGGCGAGGCCCTGCCCTTCATCAAACGCGTCTACGACATCTCCCAGAGGCTCTACGCCGAGCACGCCCTGCTGGACCTACCCTAGGGGCTGGCAGGCCCAGGTGGGGTGGGCTTCCCCTAATCCAGAGCTGGGTGGGGGCAGCCGGGACCCATCAGTCCCACCGTGGAACTTTCTGGTCCCCCTGTGAGCTGAGCTCGTCGGGAGCCATTCAGAGCATCCAGCCGCTGCAGACAGGCTTCACGGAGAAGGCAGACGCTGGCCGTCTGCTCCACGCCCGGCCTCTCCTTTGCCTGGGCATCTTATCTTTACCCTCAGCTAAGTTACACTCATGTCCAGTCAGGCCTCTCCCGGGTGGATGAAGTGCAGGAAGCAGTCAGTGGGGGTCAGGATTAGTGTTCATGGAAAAGCTGCCCCTGCCTGGGGGTCAAGTCTGTGAGCTACGGGGAGTCGTGGGGCGCAGGACGCAGTGTCTGCCCAGCTGGGCTGCCTTGGGCCCCTCTGTAACGGCTGGCTGTCCCCAGGACAGGGAGAGAGTCCTGGGCAGCGGTCAGCACTGCAGGCTTTCCCCCCCCCTCGCCTCCTCAGCCAGGGGCCCACGTGTCCTCAGCAGTGACAGCAGGACCTGAAGCCCCGAGGGAAGGTCTGCCCTGCTGCCACCGCCCTGCACACGTGTCAGCTGCCACCTGCGGCCTAGAGTCTGCACAGCACAGCCCGAGAACCCCCAGGATCCCAGGACTCCTCTGGGCCAGTGCTGGCTTCTCCCTCCCCAGCATCCAGCGAGATGCTGTGCTCCCTCTTCCCTGCCCCTTACTGCTCCATCCCCGTGGAGCTCAGGAGACCCAGGATGACATAGCACAAGGGAGGGGGCCTCGACAGCTTTGCCTCAGTGACAGGCTGGCAGGTGGCCACACCCCTCCCAGCCATCACCCAGTGCTTGGGGGCCTGGCCCCACCCACTGCCTCTTCACTGTGAGGCCAGGACCTCAGGTGCCAAGGGGACATTATTCACCGTGCAGCGAATGCACATAAGTGCAAGCTTTCAGGTACCCTTAGAAGCTGTAATACGGGTGATGGCTTTTCCAAAATAAATAAACTGCACTTAGCAGAACTGCTGCTCTCCAGGACGGGGGTGTCGGGTGTGCCAGGTACCTGCTCCCAGGCAGTCAGGGCCGTGTCAACCACAGGGACGTGAGGTATGCCCCGGCCAGTGCTGGGGTCCTGCCCGTCTCTGTGCAAGCTTTAGCCCTGCCGAACCCCATCTGTTGCCAAGGTCCACATTATCCCCACTTTAGAGGTGAAAAAACTGAGTCACAGAATCACCTAAGTGGCTGAGTTGGAAACGCAGGTCTGAGGCCAGCCACACACCGTGTAGAGAGAAGGAAATTTGCCTGGACTGCAGCCAGTGGAGGGGGGCTGCTCACTGCTCATGGCAGTGGCATGGACAGAAGGAGGATGCCTGTCAGGGACGGTCCTCTCAGACGCTGCCCCAAAGCCAGCACTGAATAGCAGTGCCCAACACAAGCCACCTCCAAGTCCCCACACCCAGCAGGGACCAGAGCCTGGTGTGCCTGAAAAGGCCAGTGACTGGGGGAACAGCCTGGGATTCCCCCGGGCCAGACAGTGAGGGCTGCACGTGTGTGCACGTGTGCATGCAATGGTGCACGTACAGGCCCTGCGCATGCGTGTAGCGTGTGTGCTGTGCCATGTGTGCGCGCCCCACAGGGCAGTGGAGACAGGCAAGCACTGGATCCCTAGACCACGTCCCATAAATGTCTGCCGGGCCCCACCGCCATACCCCAGGGCCATCGCTAGCCTCCCCCAGCTCCTCTGGGTGCCTGCAGCCTGGTGTCAGTGAGGCCCCCAGCCCCAGACTGGGGGAGACGGGTCCTCAGGCACCCAGAGGCTAAGCGGGAGCTGCTGGCCTGGCCCCCAGGCCCCCGGCACACCCTGGGGCTGACCTGGCTGCAGCAGCCCACTTGGTTACAGCCTTTCCTCCCTCGCTTGCATGCCGCTCCTCGGGCCCAGCTGTGAGCCTGGCCCGCGCAGGCAGGGCCCAGGCCGGTGTGAGCACGGCCAGCCACGGGGCTCCGCAGCTTCTAGGCCTTAGACCCTCAAGGTGCACTGTCCCCAGGCAGGCCGAGAGCCCACGGCCTCCCCCTCGGGACCCTCCCCACCCTAGCCACGGGGTGGAAGCCGGGCCATCTGGCCATCCACTGTCCTCCTGGCTGGCCTGCAGGGCTGTGGGACACACACCCCCCAGGCTGCCCCTGGGCCTGCCGAGGGAGCCACCCCTGCAGTCTCCCACCCCGACTGCCGACAGTGCCTCCCCAGGGCTGGAGGGAGTGTTTCTGTGCCCACTCCCTGGGGCATTGGCACCTCCAAGCCTGTCTCACAGGCAGCCGGAGAATCCAGGCCCCTCTGGCAGATGGGTACAGGGTGACCCCTCTCCAGGAATAGGTGGGTGCCAGGGGCTTGGGCACAGGCAGGTAGCAAGGTCACAGTCAGCGGCTGCCCAAAGCCTGCCTGCCTGGGTCACTGTCAGCCAGAGAGCCTAGTGGTGGCATCAGGATGAGTCCAACGTGAGCACACCTGTGGGGCCCAGGAGATGGAGGACATCTCCAGGGCCCCGAGCTGGCAGGTGAGGACAGGCAAGCGCTTTGCTAAACAAATCCTCTGCCCCTCCCCGCCCCGACTCCCCATATCTGGCGCCCCGGTCAGTCTGCCCACTTGCCGTCCCTGCTGGAAGCTGCCACCTGCCATGCCAGGCCTGGCTCTCCTGGGCCTCGCGGCTGTCCTGGGCGTCAGGGCAGGGGCCCCGCTGTGCCTGTCCCGGCAGCTCAGCTGGCCAGGGGACTACATGCTGGGGGGCTCTGCCCCCCTGGACTCAGCTGAGGATGCTCTCGTCCCCTGGGCTGCTCTGGGTGCTGGCCACGACGATGGCCATGGAGGAGATCAACAGCGGGTCCACCCTGATCCCCGGGGCTGCGCCTGGGCTACAACTTCTTCGATACGTGCTGGGAGCCCGTGGTTGCCGTGAAGCCCAGCTTGGTATTCATTGCCAAGGCCGGCAGCTGCAGCGTCGCCGCCTACTGCGATTATATGCAGTACCAGCCCCACGTGCTGGCCGTCATCGGGCCCCGCTTCTTCGAGGTCGCCCTGGTCACCAGCTTCTTCCTCATGCTGCACGTGCGCCCCCCAGCCCGCGTCCCCCCTCCTGCCCGCCTCGGGAGCCCCTGCGTCAGGAGCTGCCTTGGACCCGCAGGTCAGCTACGGCGCCAGCACGGACCGGCTGAGCAGCCGCGAGACGTTCCCGTCCTTCCTCCGCACGGTGCCCAGCGACCGCGTGCAGGTGGCGGCCGTGGTGGAGCTGCTGCGGGAGCTGCACTGGAGCTGGGTGGCCACCGTGGGCAGCGAAGACGAGTACAGCTGGCAGGGCCTGTGCCTCTTCTCCGGCCTGGCCGACGCCAAGGGCACTTGCATCGCGCGCGAGGGCCGGGTACCACTGCCCAGAGCCGGCAGCCCGCGGCTGGGCTCCGTGCAGGGCCTGCCACGCCGGGAGAACCAGAGCAGCGTGCAGGTGGTGAGGTGTTCTCCCCTGCCTGCGCTGCCGCACCCTCTTCAGCTACAGCATCCGCTACAGGCTCTCGCCCAAGATGTGGGTGGCCAGCGAGGCCTGGCTGCCCTCAAACCTGGTCATGACGCTGCCCAGCATGGACCGGGTGGGCACTGTGCTAGGCGTTCCGCGTCAGGGCGCCCAGATGCCCGAGTTCCCGTCCTACGTGCAGACGTGCCTGGCTCTGGCCGCGGACCCCGCCTACTGCGCCTCGCTGGACACAGGGCAGCCAGGCCTGGAGGAGCACGTGGTGGGGCCGCGCTGACCCCAGTGTGACTGCATCACCCTGGAGAACGTGACTGACGGGCTGCTGCACCGCCAGACCTTCACGCCTTCGCAGCCCTGTACGGCGTGGCCCAGGCGCTCCACAACATACTGCTCTGCGACACCTCGGGCTGCCCTGTGCGGGAGCCCGTGCGGCCCTGGCAGGTGAGGGCACGGGAGCTGTGCCACCAGCGCCACCAGGGAGGAGGGACGGTGGGAGCACGTCTGGGCTGGGGGGCTCCCCGCCCCCCCCCCCCGCCAGCACCCGGAGAACATGCACAACCTGAGCCTGCGGTTTGACACCAACGGGAACGTGGACGTGAATCATGACCTGAAGCTGTGGGTACGGTGGGACCGGACGCCCACTCCCAGATGAGGTGGCACACGCAGGGAAACCAGGTGAGCGCCAGCCCTGCCTGAGGGAGCGGGGCCGCCCCCAGGGCTCGGGCAGCTGCAGCCAGCCGTGCGGAGCCTGAGCCCCGGGGCCCGTGCCCGGAGCCCGTGCCCCAGTGCTCGCGGCAGTGCAAGGAGGGCCAGGTGCACCGCGTTAAGGGCTTCCACTCCTGCTGTTACGACGGTGCCGACTGCAAGGCAGGCAGCTACCAGCGCAACCCAGGTGAGCCCTCCGGGGGGCCTTCCCACGCTGTCGCACGAGTGAGGGAGGGTCCCCGCAGGGTCGGGGGCACAGGCCTGGCTCTGAGGCCAGAGGCCGTGGCAGGGGCGAGGCTGGGGGAAGCCGACGGCCCCCGGCACCCCCCTCTCCTCCCCCTGCCCTCTGCAGCAAGTGTGACCAGGACCACAGGTCCCCAGACTGGAGCACCGGTGCCTCCCCCGCCGGCCCAAGTTCCTGGGGCTGCTTCTGCTCTGGGCCCGGCTCTGGGCCTGGTGCTGGCAGCCCTGGGACTCTTCATCTGGCGCCGGCACAGCCCATGGTTCGGGCCTCGGGAGGGGGGCCACAGGCCTGCTCTGCCTGGGCCTCGTCTGCCTCAGCGTCCTCCTGTTTCCCGGCCGGCCCAGCTCTGCCAGCTGCCTGGCCCAGCCGCCACTGCACGACCTCCTGCTCACCGGCTGCTGGAGCACACCCTTCCTGCAGGCGGCTGAGATCTTCGTGGGGTCAGAGCTACAGCCGAGCTGGGCAGACTGGCTCTGCAGCCGCCTGTGGGGCGCTGGCTGGTATCTTCCCGCCGGAGGTGCCGACAGCCTGGCAAGTGCCGCCCACGGAGGCGCTGGTGCACTGCCACATGCGCTCCTGGGTCAGCTTCGGCCTGGTGCATGCCACCAATGCCACGCTGGCTTTCCTCTGCTTCCTGGGCACCTTCCCGGTAAAGAGCCAGCCCGGGGGCTACAACGGTGCCCGCGGCCTGACCTTTGCCATGCTGGCCTACTTCATCACCTGGGTCTCCTTCGTACCCCTTTGCCGACGTGCACGTGGTCTCCCAGCCCGCCGTGCAGATGGGTGCCATCCTCTTCTGTGTGCTGGGCATCCTGGGCACCTCCCACCTGCCTAAGTGCTACCTGCTGCTGTGGCGGCCGGACCTCAACACCCCTGAGTTCTTCCTGGGAGGGGGTCCTGGCAACGCCAGAGGGCGAGGCAGCAGTGGGGGCGGGGAGGAGACTCAGGGAAAAAACAAGCGGCCCCTGACCCAGTGACCTCACCCCAGTGAACTCATACCTAGTCAAGGTGCCCCCAGACCAAGTCCCTATGCAGCAACCTACAGACTGTGCCCCAACTCCGCTGTGACTCCCCAGCCCTACATTCTGCTGACCTTGACCCCACAGTGACCTCCAGAGTGCATAAGGGGCCTCAGCTCCGTGGGATCTCAACCCCTGGGGCCCCAGAGGCAGGCTCTGTCCCTGCCCCAGCCAAGCCCTGGCCTGCACAGGTGACCCAGCGCCACTGTTCCAGACAGAGGCCCATGGAGGCTTCCTCGGGGCCCCCCGTAGCCCAGGCTGAGCGCACAGGAAAGCCCCCAGCCAAACCATGTGAAGGCAAAGCTGGGTACCACTTGCCTGGCTGGGCCCAGCCTGGGGCCCCCACCCAGCATCCTGTCCAAGCATCGTAGGAGTGGGAGGTTGGTAGGTGGGGTGGGGCTTTCTTGACCCCTCTGCAGGGGTGTGTGCCTGACTGTGGGCCCCAGTGCAGGGCAGAGACCCGCTCAGGAAGGAGGGGGCACCCAGCTTCCTTCTCTCCCTGGCCAGTGAGCCAGTAGAATGTGGTCAGTCCCCTCCAGCACCGCGGACAGAGCCCGGCCAGGGTCGGGGGTCAGCACCAAGGCCAGCACCAGCCTCAAGGACGACCCACCCCACCCCACCCTCCACCCCCAGCACCCCCCACCGGAGCCAAGAGCCAGCACCACAGACAGAAGACCGCCCGCCAGGACTGCTGCGGCCAGGGCCTTGTCGCTGAGCTGGCACCCAGAGGACAGCACCTAGCCAGTCCTGGGTCAGCTCTCGGACGGACCCTGGGGAAGCTGACCCGGCCACTGCACCCCAATCTCCTAAAGTGGGAAAAAAGAGACACAGATCACACGTCGGTCCCATAAAATTAAATGCTTTTTAGTGTTTAAAATAGCATTTACACAGAAGCAGCTCTATTAACTACCTGGACGACGCTCCAGCCTGCACAGTATCTACAGTGCAGACGTGTGCAGGGCAGCGACGCTGGACGGAGGAAGCAGCGTGCGTGCGTGCGTGCGTGCGTGGGCGGCCACCCCAGGACCGCGGGGAGGGGCGAACTGGCCACGCCCTCTGCCCCAGACCCCGCCCCGGCAGCAGCTGTGTGCATCTGTGGCCCTTGCCCTCAGGGTCACCTTCCCTCTCCTGCCATCTCCCCCTCACCGTCCTCCCGCACACCTTCAGACACACCGTGTGTCCCTGCGGGGTGGGGGTGAACACATGAAACTCTGCTCCAGTGGCTGGGGGTGGGGGACAGCTGACTTGGCCGCCACCCCGTGGAGCACACAGGCCAGGCAATAAATAAATAAATTAGATCCCTACCCTGGGCAGCCAGAGAGAGGCCTCGGGGCTAGGACCCTACCCCCGAGAAGGCCCCCCACCCCGGCCTGGGCAGGATGGGAGGTGGGGCCTGGGAACCGGGTGAAGAGGGGGGCCCAGGCCTAGCGGCCACCTCTCAGCTCAACCTGAGGCCCCGTGCACAGCACTGTGGGCGAGTGCGGGTCCCTGAGGCACACGCCAAGGGGGGCAGGTCAGACCTGCCTGAGCACAGGGAGATGGAGGCCCCCCCACCAGGGTCTGCACAGACACAGCTGCTCTGGCCAGGAGAACGGGCTGCCATCCAGGTTACGGTGGCCTGGGCTGCCCTCAGCCCCTCTCCTCCAGCCTGCTGCCACTCTGGCCAGGCCCAGACCCCATGGCACGAAGCACAGGCTGGTCTGGCCCAGGAAGGCCACGAAGGCCACAAAGGCTCCAGGTGCAGCCCCTCCTGCAGGGGCAGCAGGACCACTGGCTGGAAGCAGTGGCCAGGCCGGAAGCACTCTCTCCTTGGTCACATGATATCGACAAAGAACTCACAGGGGTTCCCCATGGCCTTCTGGAAGGACTGGCGGCTGCCTGTCAGCTCCGGGGGGACAGCGGCCAGCTCCCGGACAGGCGGCCCCCCAGGCGGCCCACCCACCACCGAGTACGCCTTTGTCAGGGGGTGCAGCGGGGGGAGCCCTGGGGCGGCGGCCGAGGCCTGGCTGCGCGGGCTGCTGCCACGGCTGAGCTGGCCAGCAGGACGCTCCCGCCAGCCGCCGCTGCCCACCCCGCTTGGCACTGTGTGGTCCGACTCGCTGCCACTGCCCCCAGCTCCAGCCGACCGGCTCTCCTTCTCGCGCCCCAGGGCCCGACGGCTGCTCCCGCCAGCGCTCCGGGTGGACCCACTGCTTTTGCTTCCTGGGATCAAGAAGGGGGGAGAGGAATGGGGTGGTCAGTGCCGGGCCTTGCCTCTTCCAAGATGGCCGGCCACTGCGAGGACAACCAGGGGCAGAGCCTGGTGGTCCTGAGCCAGGGTGCAGGTGGAGGGGGGAGCCATGCAGACAAGAGGGCTGGGCCGGCCCCACCCAGGGAAGCAAGAGCAGCTGCAGCAGGCCGGGGGGGGGGGGGGGGGGGGGGGGGGGGGGGGGCAGTGGCAGACAGGCAGGGACACCAGGGCCAGCTCAGTGCCCCCACTCCTCACCCCAGTGCCTGGACCGAGGGCCTGGTCTTGCAGCTGAGAAACCGAGGCCCAGAGAAGGCCGTGTGTGCTTGGCGCACCTGCCGGCCATCTTGGGCTCCCCACCCAAGACCCGCCTTTCATCTGACCCTGGAGCCCTGGCTGGCCACTCGGCTCAGCCCCTCCTGGGCTCAGGAAGTGTCGGGAACCTGAAGACGCCCACTGGCTGGGGATGTGCCGGGAGGGACGCCGGGCAGGACCCTGGCTTACCGGCCCCGAGGGTCCGTTCCGCTAGTCCTTCAGTCTAAGGCTTGCCCAGCACAAAGCAAGGGATAGATGAGTTACAGAGCAGGCCCGGCTGGGCACCCACACCCTGCTACCAGGGTGTGACCCCACCGGCTGGGCCTGTCCAGGGTCCACAGGTGCCCAACACGGCTTCCCCTCAGACACCACTATCCTCCGATCCACTCTCCTGTCTCCCCGTCCCTTTCTGGGTCCACCGGGCCAGCCACCAGACCTCTCCCCAGACGCTGGGGGCACGGGCCCACGGGCCTCACTGACCCCACTCAGCCTCGGGGCACTTCCAACAGGTCCCCTCCTCAGGGACACCCCAAGCTTCCCGCTCAGCTGCCCCACACATCCCAGCATCGGACTGGGCCGTCTATGAAACTGTCACCTCCGGCTGCAAGTGGAAGGTGGAAGTCTCTGTCCTCCACTGTGTCCTGGGGTCCCCGTGCCACTCCCCCACCCGGGCCACCACACCCCGACGCCCCCATCCTTCCCACACCACCTCTGGCCTTTGCCACGGCTGGAGCACCGGCCCCCACGCGCAACCCCTGAAGCCTCCAGGTTCTTCTCCCTGGCCCCCCTTCGACCACTCGCCCCTTCTAGAAGGAGCCACCCAGGGCCCAAGCACAGAGCGGATGGGAGCGCACAGGGTGGGGGAACCGGCACACAGGGCAGAGCTAGGCGGTGGGGAAGGTGTGGCGGCCGGGCGGGAGGCCCTCACCTTCACTCTGCTGACTGCCAGCACTGCCGCTGCCATAGCCGAAGCCGGGGTCCTGGTACGCGGGCGGGAAGCAGGGCGGGGGCCCCGGGTACTGGTAGGGGTAGCCCTGCCCCAGGGGCCAGGGGGCGGCCGGGTGGGGCAGCGGGGCCAGCGTGTCCTGATCCGAGGCCCCGCTGGAGCCGCTGTTGAGGTTCAGGGCCGCGAAGTCTGCGAAGGGGTAGGCGGGGGTGAGGGGGGGTGGGGCGGGGTGGGGGGGGGGGGGGGGGGGGGGTGGGGGTGGGGCGGGGTGGGGGTGGGGCAGGGTGGGCGGGCCCTCTGGGGACCCCGCCCCGCAGCCCCTTCTCACTGCTGCACAGGTCCCCGAAGACGTAGTAGCACTGCTCGGAGAAGGTGATCTTGTTCACCGTGTGCCGCAGGAAGCCGCGCTTCAGCATGCTGCTGGCGTACCTGCGCGCCTCCCGCCGCTCACGGAAGCCCTCCAGGTGCGTGTACAGCCAGTCCACCACGTCCGCCCCTGGTGTGGTGGGCGGCCGTCAGGCAGGGGCCCTGGGCTGCCCCGCCCTGCCCCCTCTGCTGGCCGTGGGACCCTCACCAATGACGGCGTTGGCGATGGTGATCTTGAGCCACATGCGGTCACGGATCTCCAGGCCTGAGTCCGGCAGCTGCATGACCCGGACGACAGCGCCCATGTCACTCTTCACCGTCAGCGGCACCTCCTCCAGCTCTGCAAGGCATGGCCTCCTCCTCAGCCCGAGTGGCTGACAGACGGGGCGGGGTCAGAATGGACCCCAGGCCCCACCTGCCGCACCCCCTCAGAGACTAGGCTCTGCTGGCCCAGTGACTGGGGGGTCCAGCCCCACTGCTTGACAGCTCCGAGGGTCAGGGAGCCGCACATGGCGGTGGGCGGGGGCTGGACCTTCGTCTCCTGCCCTGCAGGCGCTTCATCAGAATCTGGGGTCCAACCAAGACGAGGACCCCACGGGCGGAGATCGGGCCTCTTCAACCCCCTCCCCCGCGAGCTCGGGGCTATTAGTCATGTTAGCGGCAGGAAAGCCAGGTGAGGGCCCTGCTCAGACAGCCGCCCCGCCCCGCCCCGCCCCGCAGGCAGACCCCTGGGCTGGCCGGGCCCCTCCAGGCATCTTCCACCTCCACCACGTGAACAGAGGCTGGGAGGAGGGCAGAGCCCTGTCAGCGCCGCATCTGACTGCCGGAGCCTGGCATGGGCTGGGCCTCGGGTGCAACCGACCATCCGGGGCGCTGCAGCCAGGCCCTCGCCTGGGGCCTCAGTTCCCTGGTCTCCTGAGCCACCACTTACGCGGAGCGCCGGGCACCGAGCTGGTTAGTGAGGAGGTGCTGGTGCGCGTGACGGCGCTGGAGCAGGGGCTCGTACCGTAGCGGGGCAGGGCTCCGGTCAGCGCCGCCGTGTGCGACAGCCAGGCGGCCGGGTCAATGGGCCGAACGGGGTCAGCTGGGCGGCCACCGCGCGGCAACAGACGGACGGACGGACGGCGGGAGAGAGAGCAGAGCACAGGGACGCAGAGGAGAGAGGACCTTCAGGCCGCACTGGGCACCCCCCGCCCCCGCCCCGCTGGCCCCGTGGGGTCACTCACCCCTCGGGATGGTGAAGTAGCTCCGGGGCGTCGGGTCCCAGCACTTGGCCACAGTGAGGCTGATGGGCCTGCGGGGAGGGTGGGTCACACGGCGAGGCCCCGGGGGGACCCCCCCAACTCTCAGCCCCTGCCCTGCCCGCCCCGCGCCTCACCCTGTCTGGGACACGATCTCCCGCAGGACCCGCACCGCGTCGTCGTTGCTCATGTTCTCAAAGTTGACGTCGTTCACCTGGGGACGAGGGGTCAGCGCGGTGGGTGCGGGTGCCGGCCCCCCGGCCCCCCAGTGGCTCCCCCGGCCCCGCACCTGCAGCAGCATGTCACCCGGCTCGATGCGGCCGTCGGCAGCCACGGCGCCGCCCTTCATGATGGAGCCGATGTAGATGCCGCCGTCGCCCCGGTCGTTGCTCTGGCCCACGATGCTGATGCCCAGGAAGTGGTGCCTCTCTGCAGAGAGGGGGGGTGAGCAGGTGCCCCCCACCCAAGGACCCCGTGCCAGGCCCAAGGACCTGCCCCGCCGAGGCCTCACCCATGTTGAGCGTGACGGTGATGATATTCAGGGACATGGTGGAGTCCGTGATGCTGCTGAAGGAGGAGGCCTGCGGGGGGGCGCCAGGTGAGGGGCCGCGGGTGGGACCGCGGCTGGGACCCACCTGCCCGCTCGGGCCTCCACACCTACCCGGTCTGTCTGCCGCAGGCGCTGCTTCCTCCGCCGGCGCTTGTGCTTCCGGATGAGCCGGGAGGAGGTGCTCTGCTCCGTGGAGCTGCTCAGCCTGGCGGGGTCGGGGGGTGGGGGGATGGGGGTGGAGGGGGTGGGGACAGTCGGCGCAGAGTCAGGGCCTGGCCACCCCTCCCCCACGCAGCTGAGGAAACTGAGGCCAGCGGGGCGGGGGCGGGGCCAGACCTGTGGAAAGCCGCCCCCCCCAAGACAGCGAGCCACCAGCAGGGCCCCCTGCCCACACGTGCACACGCACGCAGACACACCCTGCGCACACGCCCCGCCCCGCACCCCAGCCCTCGCCCACCGGCTGGTGTTGTCGTCCTCCTCCGAGTCGATGAAGCTGCTGGACTCAAGTTCACTGCTCAGCACGGTGGACGCGCTGTCGGGGGGCAGCCCCAGGTCCCGCCGCCGGTCCCCCCTCGGGTGCCCGTTGGTCCGGGCGGCTGTGGGGACAGCAGGGAGGGGGGCTGGCTGTGGGGTCCCCTGGAGGTCACGGGCGGCCCTGCAGCCTAGAGCACCTGTTGACCTGGGAGCTGGCAGGGTGACCGCTGGGTTGCTGGGGGGGCCACTAGGGTCCTGGAACCTCTGCCAAGGGACCCCCGCTGGACAGGGCAGTACCTGGGGGTCAGCAGGGGCTTGGGGCGCCCATGGGGTCCCGGGGAGGTCAAGGGTGTGGCCTCGTTACCCTCCTCGCGGTTCCGGCGTCGGGCTCGCTCCCGCCGGTGGCTGACCAGGGACTCCGTGCCGGTCTCGTTGTCCATCCCATCTCGGCTGCCGGCCACATTCGGGCTGTGCCGACGAGGGGGGCTGGGCTGGGGCGGCCGGGCCACTCACGCCGCAAACGCCCTCTCAGCTCCTCTGCTGCCCTCGTCTGGTGGGACCCCGACTCCAGCAGGGGCCCCCATCCACCCGCCGGCGCACTCCAGGCCTCTCCGCCCGCCCCTCCTCTGCTGACCAGCGCCTACTGACCGTGGGTCCCTGCTCAGGGACCTGCCCCTCCCCACCCCTAAGAGGCCTGGCAGGACACAGGCCCCTCAGAACCACTGGGCTCAGCGCCACCCCTCAGAGTCCTTACTGGAAGGAGGGGGGCCGGGAGTCCCCGATGCCGCCTGTCCGCTCGAGAGGCGGAGGCAGGTCTGCGTGGCCGTCAGTGCCCTGAGACCCTGCATCCGAGTGTGTGCCCTCAGCCAGGACCAGCTGCGGGGGAGAGCAGGGCTCAAGGGACCGGCTTCCAGGCGACCCTTGGCAGGGCACCGGGGCACAGGTGACCAGCCTCCTCCACTCCCACCAGCCCAGGGCCCTCTGCCAGCATCCCGTGGACTCACCCAGGAGACCACGCGGCCATTGAAGCAGGGCAGCCTAGCATTGTCGTCGGAGATCTCCTCCTTCACAACCCTGCAGGCAGATGCAGCCGTGAGGCCACTGCAGTGGGGCCTGCTCCCAGCACTGGGCTCTGGACGAGGGGCCCCAGCTCGTCTGGGGTGCAGGCCACACTGGGCGTCCAGCCACACGCCCAGATGTCAGGCTGTGCAGATGCCCCCACCCGGCATTTCCCTTCCCAGGAACCTTTACCATCCTTCCAAGGGCCCCTTCCAGGGTCCAGGTCCAAGGGGACCCAGACACTCCCAGCACCAAGAGTCACTGCCTGGACGGCCCTAAAATGCGAGTATCTGCCTTGCTCTGCGCCTCTGTGCCCCCCCGGCCTGTGCATGGTGAGGGCAGAGCCCACCCTGCCAGCCTAGAACAGGGCCTGGTTCACAGCAGGCCTCAGCACAGATGCAGGCAGGTCGAGAGGGCACAACACACAGACCGACACGCACACACTCCAAGGGCAGGCGGCCGCCCCCCTGGCCCATCGGCCCAGCCAGGGAGACAAAAACAGACCCCCACTCACGGCACCAGCCCAACTCGAGACCTGGAAGGGCAGCCAAGCTCAGGGCCAGCTGGGGCCACAGAGAAGCCTCAGGCCCTGGAGGCCAGCGAGCCCCACCAGCCATACCCACTGCCCAGCGGCTAGCCCTGGCCTATCCCTTAATGCTGCCCCCAGTCAGGTGGGCTTGGGGTGGGGTGGGAGAGGCAGGTCACCAAGGGCCAGGGCAATGCTAACTGGGAAGGAGGCCAATGACCCTGGGGTCAGAAACTGGTTGGGGAGGTCCAGGTGTCAGGTTCAAAAGGGTGAGGAGGGCAGCAGGGGAAGGGCCACGGGGCAGGGCGGGCAGTGCTGTGGCCCAGACACATCCCACACTGCGGCCTCCCCTGAGTCCCAGAGGCCCGGAGAGCAAGGCAGGCAGGGTGGGGCCTGTGGCAGGAGGTGCCCCGAGGCCCCGCCCCCTGGAGGCCAGCCCTGCCCAGCGTGGCAGTTTCCTACACTTGGGCTTGGGCCCAGTGCAGAAACAGGAGCCGGGAGACCAGGCGGGAAGCGGCCTTGTGGCCCGCTGGGCCCAGACACCGCGACTCGGCTAGTCCTTGCCAGCAACAGGTGGCACAGGACGCTCCCATCCAGAGAGCAAGGCTCCAGTCTACCCCACCCACCAGGAGAGGGCCCAAGACCTCAGGGCAGAGTGGACGGAGGAGACGGGCCAGCCTGGGAGGGAGGGGGCACCCCGCCAGGGTCCTTCGGTGACCCCCCCCTTCTGTGCCTGTGTGGCATCCCAGGGCCAGCCACACAGGTACAGATGAGGTGGACAGAACAAGGGACAGAAAGAGTCATTTCTCAGGACCCCCCCTCTCCCCAGTGAGGAGCAGACACTGTGTTTGTGGCCCCCACTCACACATCACAGTCCGGCAGAGCTGAGCTCTGGGGAGGCCGAGACCCAGCCCAAGATTTAGCCAAAGAGGCCACACAGAAGTTTGTCACCCCAGGAAGACCTGCGGTGGCCTGGGGACACTTGTGGTTCTGCCAGCTGCAGCCAACAGACAGGGGGCTGCAGCAAGCCCTCCCGGGGGCCCAGCAGGCCCCAAGCACTGTCTCTGAGTGACTGCGGCGACAGAGACATGGGAGGGACCTGGTTCCCACTTCACAGCCCAGGTGGCCCGGCCGGCGGCCTCCCCTGCCGCCCCCCCCTCACCCTTTCTGACTCACACCACGGGGCCTGCCTGGCTCCCCCAGAGGTGGACACCCCAGGCAGGGGGGCCCAGGGGCACGCTGAGTGCCCACATGGCCAGAGCCTCCAGGTGACCCACCGCCCGGGGCTGCCTGAGGCCCCCATGTAGCCCACCCACACACGAACGCCCCTCCCAGGGCCCAGAGGCGCTGCTTCCCTGGCCCTCTCCAGCCTGCGAAACACACACCTTGCAGCCTGCACTACGGAGCATCCTGCCCTCCACCGGGCGTTGGGGTGCTGAGGGGCAGCTAGGCCGGGACAGCAGGGAGGGAGGGGCAGGTGTCCCAGCCCCCAGGACAAAGGGCACAGGGGCACACGCTGCCCACCCCCGGCGATGGCCAGGGATAGGGACAAGGTCGGGGGTGGGGTTGGGGGAGGCCTTGGCCAAGCCTGGGGAAATGCCCCCCACACAACCCCAGGACTCCCCTGAGGTCTGAGAGTAGACCTCAGGAGAAGTGGTCAGTGAAGACAATGAACCTTGTGGTGGCCACCCAGGGGCACCCCCGTTGGCATCTTGCCCACAACCTCAGGATTCCTGGCGAAATCCCAGTTACCCTAGAACTTGGGCTGCCCAGCCCCGCCCGCTACCCCTGCAGACTCGCCCCGCCGAGGAATCTGCTCAGAGCGGGGCCCTTGGAGCTGAGCCAGGGGCCCAGGGGGACCCCTGGGCTCCCAGAGGCCCAGTGAGATGGCCCCAACTATGTCCCCAGAGGCACAGTGTTCCCCCATGGGTCGGGGTCCTCAGCTCCCACAGAGCTTTCCTCTGTCCCCTCACTGCCTCCTGCCCAGGCCCAGGCTCTGCAGGCCTCGGGGTGAGTGGATCCAAGTCCTCGAAGCCCTGCCACAAGCTCTGGGGGGTGACCCATCTAGACTCTCCCAACACCACTGGGGGCACTGACCCCAGATGGTGGGCAGAGTGGGAGCTCGGGCAGCCTGCGCCAGGCCAAGCGCAGCCCCCCACTGCACCCCCCAGGGCCCACAGACAGATGGCCCCACAGACCGGAGCTCCTGGCGTAGAGATGCAGGGGCCAGGGCCACTGCCAAGTCCAGCCGGGCCTGGAATCGGCAAGGCAGCCCTGGCAGCAGAAACCTGTGAGCCAGACACCCTCACCCTCTGCCACTCAGCCCAAAGGCTGGGCCCAGACGTCTCCCTGCACTGCCGCTCACCAAACCCAACGCCTGGCACTTCCAGGCCAACCGAGCACAAGCCCAGACACCCTCCCCAGCTTCGCTGGGACACAAAACCTGTGACCTGCATGGGAAAAGTAGGAGGTGGGCGCAGGACTTGCCACCCACTTGGCCAAAGATGCCCGTGGGGAGTGGGACCCGGCCCAGAGCATGGGGCGGTGGCCACACCTTAGACTTAGTAAGGGAAGGGGTTCCCTTCCTGGCCAGCCGTGGCCAGGAACAGAGGCCCCAGGAACTCAGGGCCCAGCCCACAGTGGGCTGAGGGGTTGGGGCAGGAAGCCCAGGCTCACTAGGTGCCCTCACAGTGCCCAATCTGAGGCCACCCCTCTTATGAGGGGGCTGCTGCCCCAGCCCAGCCAGGACCTGCCCCCACTTTCCCCAACCTCCAGCTACATCCACTAGGTATCTAGGGTGAGCTTCCAGCGCTCGTTTATACTAAAGTGTGAGTGACTATTCAGCCCCTCCCAGAGGAAATTTATTACACTGAGTAAATGATTCTACAGAATAAATAAAACTTGGAGCTCTGTAGGTAGACCTCAGGGGAGGGGAGGAAGAGGAAGATCCTCTCCAAGGGTCCCTGAGGCCAACAGGCCACAAACCAGAGGTCTCGGGGGTGGGGAATAAGGTGAGCCTCCCCTGCTCTGTCTGCGCATTGCGCCTTCCAGAGTCACCCCAATCCCTCCCCGTCCCAGCCCAGCCTACAAGCCCAGTCTTGTTCTCTCCCCCCTCATCCCAGTCATGCTGAGACAACCTGAAGAACTCCTACTCGTGCTTCAAGACCCAGATCTGCCTGCCCACTGACCTCCTAGGCCAGGGCACCCATGGGTCCTGCAAATCCTCCAGCAGGCCCAGCCTCTGCTGGGAGTGCACCTTGATGGGGGCAGGGGTCTCTGCAGCTCAGCAGCTACCAGACGGAGGACCACGGTCAGGGCCCTCAGGATGCACCCCAGATCATGGTCCAACCTAGGGGGTTGGGCACACACTGTGCCTCACATTCCCTGCTGGCTTTGCTTTGTGGCAGAACATGTGTGACTTCAGTAATTTTTGTTGAAATAATAAACTAAGTTAAACACAAAAGCACCCTTTCACATACCCAGTGCTCACAGCCAAAGCACAGCAGACCCAGAGCAGTGAGACTGTAGGAGATCACCCAACGAGGGCTGGCTCCCCAAATCAATGCCCTACCCAGGGGAACCCAGCCTGGGGGTGGCTCCTAACATGAGCCCGGCAGGGCTGGAGGCTGCCAAGAGCACATGCCCCCTTCTCTGCCTCTCCCTGGTGTTGGGGAGGCATGAGAGTCCAGCTGCCCACATGTCCCTCAGGCCTTCCTGAGAGCCACAAAGTAGCCTCAGCTTGACCTGACCTGGGCCTGCCCAAGGCCCATGCAAACCACAGAATCCAGGAAATGGCTCAATGTCAAAGTCCCGAGACGCAGCCACAGACAAGGACACGGGCTGCCTGAGGGCACCCAGGCACACCTGCTCGGCGCACCCCCGCCCCCGCCCCAGCACCGCTGAGCAGGGGACTCAGGTTACCCGTGGCTGTGCCGGGTCAGGCCTCAAGCGGACAGCCAGCCTCCAGCTCACCGCTCACCGTTCCAGAGGCCCAGCCCAGCACAAGCGGGAAGTCCCCACAGCCAGAACAGCCACCACTAAGGGCAGACATGCGGACGCTGACACAGAAGCTGCCCCGAGTCAGCAGTTGGCCTGGGCCGCTCCCAGGAACCCAAGTGCCATGTGGCTCAGCAGGAACAGAAGCCCTGTGGCCAGCAACCCCGGGGCAGGGGTGGGTGGAATAAAGCCCCACATTGCCCAGTGACCCTTGACCTCTGCCCTGTCCCGAGGGCCCTGGAGAAGGGGGTCAGGAGGAGGCTATCCTGAGCCTCCAGAAACGTCTGCAGACCCCAGCAGACAGATCTGTGCCCCTGTCCCAGATCACCTCATTTCCCCCATGCTAACTAGGGAACCCACTGGGTGGCCGGCACCCTGTCCCCACCCCGACCCCTCCCCTCCCAACACTCGGACACTCCTCTGACCCCAAGCCCCATGAATCGCAAGCTCTCCAGGCCGTCCCTAAGCATCTACCCTCCACATAAGGGGCCAAGGGCCCTGAGCCTGACAGGTGCCAAGGTGGTATTTTCGAGGTCGACCTGGACTACAGACCTCCACCGCAAGTCACACTCAGGACAGGACCCAGGGCAGGTGGAGAAGCCAGGACCCTCGCGTGCCCACCGTCCAGAGCTCTCAGGCTCCTGGGCAGGCAGTCAGGGGCCCAGGCGTCCCCTGCTCAGGGCACAGACAGGTGGGACACACCGCACCGGGGCGCGCAGGCACGGGGAGGCACCGCCCGGGTCACAGCCCCAGGATCTGCCCTGCCTGGCGCAGACAGGTGCCCACACGCGCGCCCGCGCACAGGCCCTGTGGCCCACTGACCCGAAGTCCTGGTCCATGGACTTGAAAAAGAATTTGTAGGCGTGCACGGGCCGGTTGCTGAGCACGTTCTTGAAGTCGGCCAGCGTGACGCGCTCGGGCGCCACGGGCAGCTTGACCAGGTACGGCGTCTCCTCCTCGTCCATGTGATAGATGATCTTGGTCTCCGCCATGGCGCGGCGCTAAGGCCCGGCCCGGGCCTTGGACGCGGGCGCCTCCCCGCCGCCGGCCCGCGCCCCGCCCGCGCGCCGCTCCCGGCCCAGCCGCGCCAGGCCCCCGCGCCCCCGCCCGGCCGCTCCGGCCCCGCCCGCCCTGCCGGCCTCAGCCCCGGCCCCGGCCCCGCGCACACCACGGCTGCTGTCCCGCCGCCCGCGGCCACCCATGCGCCCCCGGCCCGGGACGCAGGCAGGGAGGGCGCGAGGCCCGCCGCGTCCGTGCGCCCCGCCGCCGCCCCCTCGGGCCGCGCGTTAAAGGGACCGCGGGCCCTGCTGCGCGCGGCCGTGGGGGGCGCCAGAGAGCGACGGGCCTGACGTCACCGGGCTGCCCGCGGCAAGGGGCGGGGCTGCGCACGCGCGGGCGCGGCGAGGGCGGGGCCTCCCTGCCTGCGGCCAGGCCGGGATCCCGTGGCGCGCGCGTCCCGCGGACGCCGCCGCGTGCACAGGCTGGCAGCCCTCGGCGCCCGGCTCTCGGCCCTTGGGCGGCCGGGGCGCGCCCCGCGGGGAGGAGGTGGGTGGGGGCCCTCAGGAAGCTCTACACCCGGCCTGGAGCCCTCGGAGAGGTTCCGCGCGGCCAGGCTCCGGTCCTCCTCCTCTTAAGAGTCCGGAGGCGCCGTGGTCACATCGGCGGGCTGCGGGGGCACCGCGGGAAACTGAGAATTGTGTCCGGGCCGGAGCCGAGGACAGTCGGTCACATTGCGCCCCCGCGCCAGCTCCAAGCTCTGCCGGGTCACACGGGGGCTCCGAGAAACACGGGCCAAGGGAATGCCGGTGCCCCCGTGGACGAGGGAATGCAAGTGTGAGCACGTGTATGTGATGCTCAGGCGACAGCGGGGTCAGCGCGGGCAGGTGTGCGCACGCAGGGGCACGGTGCTTCTGGCAGCAGATGTAGGGATTCTTTTCCCGGCCGCTCTCCATCGAACCTGCCTGGGGTCCTCCTGCCTGGGGTCAAGGGAGACGCGGAGCAGCGCCCCTCCGGCTGTGAAGGGTCCAGCCCAATGGGGAGAGCGGCTCTCCCTACCCCCACCCAAGGAGGAAAACTTGAGGCCACTAGAAGGAGGCCCACGCTGGCAAGAGTGAGAAGGGAGAGGCCCTAGGATGCGGCCTGAGAGTTTTGCCAGTGGGCGGCACATGCTGCTCTGAGGCCCGTCCCCAGCGCCCTGCCTTGAAGCTGGCTGGAGCTGAGACTCTCCCATCTGTCAGGTCATGACCATCCTCACGCAGTGGGCCAGCACAAGATGAGACCTCATTAGTCCATCACTGACTGGAGGAGCCAGAGTTTGGCCATAAGTCCCTGAGTCCAGGCCGGGGACCACCCCCAGGTGAGCCTAGGCAGGGGTCCTGACCTCCACTCCCCTGGGCTCTGTGAGGTGGGCACCCGCTCAGCCAAGCCTGGGCCTTCTCCCTTCGGGGCTCAGTTTCCCCAGGCAGGACTGCCTTAGAGGAAGGGTCCGCCATGGCTCTCTTCTGGGTGCTCAGGGTTAGGGAGGAAGACCCTGAGAGCTCACCGGGGGACCAGATCCCCCAGGCCAGGCTGCCAGTCACACAGATGCAGGGGCTCTGATGCCTCAGCTGCACTCCTGCCCCTCAGCCCAAGGCACAGGACAGAGGCTGGTAGCCAGAAGCCAATCCCGGGACTGATGCTCACGTGGTCGGGCTGGGGCCCTGCAAGGGGCCTGAGTCTGTGGCCAGAACCTGAGACCTGACAGGAAGGGCCTTGTCCAGTGGCATGGGGCCACTGGGGCCGGGGGTCACTGGGCTGGGGGGAGTCACAGCTCCCGTTGCCACTGTGGGGTCCTTGTGGGGGTGTGACGAGAGAGCAGCTATCTTGAGTTACTGCCCAGGTGTTTCGCTGTATGACTGTCCTGCTCACACCCAGAGCCTGGACGTTCAGATGAGGACCAACGCTCAGGACTCCCACCCCAAGCTCCTGCCTTGCTTTTCCTGGGCACCTTTTAAAATGACCACTCAGAGCTGAGCCCGTGCAAGTCAGTGACTGCTGCTGCAGCCACCTTACAAGTTCTAGGTGCTTGCTACCCTGCTGGCCATCTCCTGCTCACTGGTGACCTGGACGGAGGACTGCCCTTCCCCTGGCTCCCCGAGCACACACACCCCCACCCAGCGCGTGCACGCGCACACACACACACACCTAGCATACACCCCCACCCAGCACGCACACACACACACACCCAGCGTGCACGCGTGAACACACACACACCCAGCACACACACACACCCAGCGTGCACACACGCCCAGCACACACACACACACGCCCAGCGCGCACACACACACACACCCAGCGTGCACACACACACACCCAGCACACAGACATCCCCCCCCCCCCCGGATCTGTAAGGAACACATTTCGTGACTCTTTCTTTGTGTGAGGGCTTGAAACTGGGCCTTCATCAAAACGACCCCGGGGTTTTCACCTCCCCCAGGTGCGAGGGATGCAGACGGAGCCCCCTGTGGGCCACCCCCCCCACCCCGCGTGGGTGGCTCGTGCTTCCTCATTTGGAAGGTCATGATCTCAGCCCATCGCTCTGGCTTTTCCAACTTAGGGTGACAGTCGCCCCTCCTGCCCCCTGCTGTCCCTGAGGGCCTTGGAGGATGGGGTCAGGGTTAGAGAAACAGGCTGCTTCCTACCGCGGCTCCCTTCCCTCCCCCTCCTGTCCTGCTGGCACCCCTCTGAGGGCTCTCCCGCTACCTGCTTCCTCCCCCTTTTTCCTCACTCGTTGAGCCCATCCTGGCATCTGCTTCTCTTCTCAGAGGACTGAACTAATACAGTCTGCCCTCTGTCCTCAGGTCCAGTAAGCCCTCAGAAGAGGATCTGAAACTGCTTCACAACCAGGAGCAAGTGCACACAATCAACTCTGACACTGCCCTTCTCAGGACACCCAGACCCAGACTTTCCACCCAGAGGAATGGGTGATGACAGTAGGACTTCAGATGAAGGAGAACACTTGGGGGTCCCCAAGGGCCAGACTCTGTCCCCCGGGGAGATGGAGGGGAGCTGTAGAGGCATAGCTGGGGCCAAGTCTAAAATCAGATGTGGTCTTTATTGAGATGATAGCAATTCCCCAGGATGAGCAAATGTGGGTTGTCAGGAGTGGTAGCACCGGCCACTCTAAGACCATCCTCACCGCCCCCCCCCACCGGCCCCCGTCCTCAGCCAAAACGCAGTCCAATGAGGCCTCAGCCTGGACTCCAGCCCAAGGAGGGGCCGAGGGAAGGGAGTCAGGCTCAGAAGTCACATGGAGCCTAGTGACTGTCAAGGCAGCTTGCTGGAAACAGGGCCGAAGCAGGGTGGGAAGCAGAGAGGGGGCCCCAGGAGGCCGGAGGCAGCGCAGAGGGACACTAGCCCCGGGCCTGGAGTGCGCAGTCCTCGGGTTACCATGAAGAGCCCAAGACAGCCTGGCAGTGAAACTCGGGGTGCCGTCGAGGGGAGCTGGCAGGCAGCTCCCCTAAGGACGGGGCAAGGAAGGGGTGGGAGTGCCAGGCCTGAGGCTGACCCCAGCTCCAAGAATCCCCACTGAGCCCCCTCACGGCCCTCTCCCTGCAGAGGTGGGGCTCCCAGCCCCCAGTGGGCAGAGGCCAGGAGAGCCTGAGAGACTGGTGAACATCAGCGGGGTCGTGGCCGTGCGAGGAGGGAAGAGCACCGGCCGAGGGCTGCGGAAGGGGCCCGGCTGCAGTGCCGGCAGAGTCCTAAGGAGCCCACGATCACAAATGAGGATCAGGTGGCCCCCAAGGGGGGTCTGGAGGCAGCCTCACCCTGCACCAGTCCAGGCCAAGTTCCAGGACAGCGGGACCAGCCGCTGGAAGGGGGGCCAGGCGAGCTGCATGGGGGTCAGGAAGAGTCTTCCGAGGTGGACAGACAAGAGCTGGCAGAGCTGCTGGCCCAGCCAGGGGCCCGGGGTCGCCTTATTTGCAGTACTCCTTCCTGAACTCTGGAAGCCAAGGGGACAGGCGGGTGTCTGCCCTCTGCCCCTCTGCTGCGGGGGAAACAGGGCAGACTACCATCAGGGCTGCCCAGGGACTTCGGGGGCGCTGAGGCGGCAGGGGACTCCTGCCCGCAGGGCTGGCTGGTGCCTTGGGGCTCTGAGTGGGTGGCAAGGGGTACAGCCCAGCTCTGAGATGGGCAGGGGTCTCCCCCCGCACCTCAGCTCACCTTTGTCCAAGTCGATGCTCTTGGCGGGCAGGGGGCTGTGGGACAGCTCAACCCTCTCCTTCAGGAGGTTGTTTTTGTAACCTGATGCAGGGAGAGAGCAGGGTGAGGTCTCAGAGACGTGCCTCCCTCACTCCAGGCCTGGGAGCCACAGTCTGTCCCTTTGGTCTCCCTCACCTAGTCGGATGTCCTCCCTCCTGTAAAGAGCCTGGTCGCCGGCAGCCACAGCAAACTCCACCATGTTCACGTCCTTCCTGGAAGCGGGAGGGTGGTGGGAGGTTAGAGCGGTGGGCAGGTCTGCCTGGTCCCCGGGAGAGCCGGAAGGGGCACTCACCCCTTGGACTTGCACTTCTTGTCGGAGTATTCGTAGCCTGGGGAGGGAGAGTCGTGTTGGGGGCAGCCTCCCCCTTCCCCAGCCCCCCCCAGCCCAGAGGAACCCTCGCAGCCCAGGCAACGAGGCTCATGGGGCCCTCTGCTCGGACCACTGCGCCCCAAGTCCCGCCTCCGGCCGGGAAAGGCTTCCCAGTGCTGGCCTCAGCCCCCGCGTTGCGAGTCCCCGCCCGCCCCCCCACCCCACCCCCGCTCACCTCCGCGGCGGCGCTGTCGGGTGGCCAGGATGACGGTGATGAGCAGCAGAATGAAGAGCAGCAGCGTGGCCAGCACGTAGCCCAGCTGCTGGAAGAAGTGGGCCCGGCCCTCGGGGACGATGACGTTGATGACGCTGCGGCCGCGCGTCAGCGTGGGGTCTGCGGGGGCCGGGCGGGGACCGTGTCAGGGAGCGCGCAGCGCGCCTACCCGGGCCGGCCTCAGCCCGCGGGGCCCTCCCCCCGCAACGCTGGAGTCCCTGATTTGGGGCCGGAGGGGGCCACAGACGTGCCTCCTGCACCTGGGCCGGGCGCGCCGCTGTGGCTGGAACCGTTGCCCGGCGAGTCCCGCGGGGGCGGCCGGGCGGCGGGCTCGGTGACCTTCAGGTGGAAGACGCGGCGCTCGTGCAGGCCGCAGTAGTGGTGGTGCAGGTGGCAGGAGTAGGTGCCCTCGTCTGCCGGCTCCAGCGGGTCGATGCGCAGCGAGAAGTCGCCGCGCGCAAAGGCGTCCGCCCCCACGG